CAGCTCCAGACTGTTTTTCCCACTAACATCCTTTTTCTGTCTCAGGTTCAAATCCAGGATAGCACATTGCATTTAGTAGTTAGTTGATTTTAAAGAGTAGGAGTTAACTCAGTGATATTCCTCTTGATACAAGTTTTGCAAGAAGAGTTTAAACTTTTCAAGCTAGTCAACTGAACCTGTCTGAAAAGCTTAAACTCTGTATTTCTTTTATTACATTAGTGTGCAAATCAAACACACACACACACACACACACACACCCCTACATATACCCAAACGCATACATTCTAACTACGGTTTGTTCATAAAGCTTTAGGATAGAAATCATAAAATATGTTTATTATATTTGTCCGTTACAACAGCATGGTTGCTTCTCTATAAATTCTCCTTAGTACGGAAAATAAATCTGTTTGGAGCCAGTACATTTGGATCTGCTCACACGCCCCCTTAGGATAAGCATGGGGAGAAAGTTTTGCATGTATGGCTGCCCACTGTGAAGCTAAGCTGGAGAAGGTAGACACAAAGAGGTGATGTCATCTGTCTAGTCGGCAGTGTGCACTTCCTAATGATTTTTTTTACTTCTGTTTTTTTTTTAATTATTTTTTTGAAGATTGACTTGTTTTTGGGGGAGGGGCAGAGGAAGAGCAAGAATTCTGAAGTAGACTGCCCTCTGGGCATGGAGCCCCATGTGGGGCTGGATCCCAGGACCTTAGGATTATGACCTGAGCTAAAACTGAGAGCCCACCACTTAACTGACTGAGCCACCCAGGTACCCCTGGATATTTTTACTTAAAAAAAAAAAAAAAGTCAGTACAAGTTAAGCAAGAGTTAAATGCTCCCGTTTTGTCACCCGGGTATTTTTTAAACTGGAGGTTTTTGCCTTCCACCCTGGGGATCCTGAGCAGTAGGCTTACCTGCGGGGAGGGAGATGGCTTTTAAGGGGGTTAAAAAAAAAGGCTGGTCTCTCTAGGTCCTCCTGTTGGAGCTAAGGGATCACTGATGTTGAGCTTCCCACAGACTGGCCTTGTGCACTGTTGGAATCCCCATGCCCCATGCAGTACCTGGCACATAGTTGGTGTTCACTAAATCCATGTTGACCACATGTTTCTTTCTTTTTTCTTTCTTTCTTTCTTTCTAAGATTTTATTTATTTATCTGTCAGAGAGAGAACACAAGCAAGGGAATGGCAGGCAGAGGGAGAAGCAGGCTCCCCGCGGAGCAAGGAATCTGATGTGGGACTTGATCCCAGGACCCTGGGATCATGACCTGAGCCGGAGGCAGACGCTTAACGACTGAGCCACCCAGGCATCCCTTGACCATGTCTTTCAACAAGTTTTAATCTTGGTTCTATTTGCTTAGCACAGAGACTTGAAAGAGAAATTTGTCAGTTAAAATTTTAATTTAAAAAAATCTTGATATTTTATACTGCCTTCTTAAAAAATCAACACATACTTCTTTTTCTTTTAAAATAAATAATTTTAAGAGCAATAGAGTTTCACCATAGAAAAATTATAAAATGCAGATAAGTAAAAAGAAAAAAAACTTTTCCATAATTCTACCTCTTGGGATATATATATTCTCCATCCAATTCTTTTCCTCCATATATATGTGTGTAGAATATTACATGAAAAATACATATTAGACATATCTAAACATAGTGTTTTAAAGATTTTATTTTTATTTATTTGTCAGAGAGAGAGAGAGAGAGAGCGCACAAGTAGGGGGAGTAGCAGGCAGAGGGAGAAGCTGGCTCCCTTCTGAGCAAGGAGCCCTTTGTGGGACTCGATCCCAGGACCCTGGGATCATGACCTGAGCTGAAAGCAGACGCTTAATGACTGAGCCATCCAGGTGTCCCTAAACATAGTGTTTTATAATTTGCTTTGTTTTTCTTTTTTGCAGGTACTATACTCAGTGTTTAAAATCTTGGTTTGCACTTTTTCTTTCTAACCTGTTAATAATTAATTCCTAGGCTATCATATCTGCATTCAACAAGGATCTACTTTCATGGTTGAATTTAAATATTTCCAAAAACAATTAGCAAACACATTCCAAAATAATCAGCAAAACGTTTTGTTTGGCACGGTATAGACTGAAAGTTCTCATACTTTTCCTATTTTTTGTACTTAAAGAACTGGTAAAATATCTTTTTGGGACCAGTATAGAATTGACATATGAGTAAAAGGCATTTAAATAACCTAACGACTATCTACTACTGTATCACCAAGGGAGTGACATGTCAATGTAAAAAAAAAAAAATACATTTACTTTTATGAAAATTAAGACACACTCTCTAATAAGTGTCACCCTAGAATTTCAGGCTTATGCAGTAAGAGGGCATGCAGCAATTGCAAAGGATGAGGTGAGAGGATGAAGGATAAAGTTGAGGTTTGCTTATTTTGCCCCAGGCCAGTAAAAACATCGCCATTAACCAGCGCTGGCCCCTCAGTATCGTCAAAGTAAACCCGTGTCTTACTTTTCAGCCATTTTATTTTTGTTCACTGATTGATGGGCTCCTAGAAGGGAAAGACCATATTGAATTCATCTTTTTCACCTCAGTGCTTAGGATCGTGCAGATGGAATAAATGAAACAGTGGCTGAGGGGATCTGCTAAATAGTGGATTCCAATGAGAAAACATCACCTGTTTTGGGAAGTGCTTTCTCTTCACCTTATTCACGTTTGCCAAAATTGCTCTTTAAATTGGTGTTCATGGTTTGAGCAAAAGACTTAGGAAGTAGAGTTGGGGAACAGGCAGTTTTGATACAGTACAAACTTGATTTTTAAGCCCTGGCTGAATCAGGGAAAGATGTTTAACATGTGTTAATTTTATAACAACTGAAACCATTAAAGAAAGGGACATCTTCGAGAAAGCACTGAACGCATTGCTGTTGGGCACGTTGGGTTGAAAGTGCTTTGCCAAGTTGGTCTCTGTTGCTTACACACTTTCACATCTCGTTGCTATTTGGTTATGTTTCTTCTGTCAAAGGGTCCAGCCTTTACCTGCCAAACTTCCTCCTCTTTGAAAGTCCAGCTCAAATGAACCTTCCTCCATGGAGCCTTTACCTCCCTGCCCTTCCATGTCTCCAAACTGGCCAGAATTAGTCACTCTCGTCTTTGTGCTCCCACAATGCTTTGTTCGTATTTCTGTTTTAACACATCATAGTGCTTTTTTGGTTAGGTGGATGTTTTAGTCTGTTTAAGCTGCTATAACAAAATACCACAGACTGGGTGGCCTATAAACAGCAAACATTTATTTCTCACAGTTTTGGGAGCTGGAAGTTCAAGATCAGGTTGCCAGCATGGTCCAGGGAGGGTTGCAGACTTCTCATTGTATCCTCATAAGGTGGAAGGGTGCTCTCTGAGTCATCCTCTTTTTTTCTTTAAGTTTTTATTTTGATTCCTGCTAGTTAATATCCAGTGTTGTATTAGTTTCAGGTGTACAATATAGTGATTCAACACTTCCGTCAATCACCCAGGGGCTCATCACAACAAGTGGACTCCTTAATTCTGGGGCTTCTTTTATAAGGGCACTAATCCCATTCATAAGGGTTCTGCCCTTACGACCTCATCAGCTTCCAAATATTCTACCTCTTAATACCATCACACTAGAGGTTGGGATTTAATATATGAATTTTGGAGGACGCAAACATTCAATCTCTAGCAGTGTATGTGGGTCTATCTTTGCTGCAAGGTGGAATTCCCTGAGGGCTGGGAAGGTTATTATTTATCTTAGTGTCCTTGCTATCTGGTACAATACCTGATGTAGAGTAGGGACTCCTGAACTTTGACATTTTCAGGGCCCTTCTATTCAGCATCACCAGCTGTAAATACACTCGCTTTTTTTGTTCTCAGTGGCTGCTGAGCGGAATCTGTGATGATACACAGCAAACTCAGGATGTCCTTTGTGAATGGGTTATGTTGGCTGGGTGGCTTCCCAGTCATCTCCAGCCCATTGTTAAACCGCATGAGAAGGCACTGTGGGTGGGGTGGGATGAGACTCTTGAAGCAGATGCAATATTCAGAGTCTCTCTCTCCCCACACTGTTACCAAGCAGAGAGGCTTGCTTCTCAGCCCACTGGTCTTCCAAACCCAAATGTGTTTAATCACCTACAAGTACCACTCATTAACTGCCCCTAAAAACAATAATTAGGTACCACTTTTTAATGTGAAGTGATCCATGTTACTATTGTTTCCTCCGCATAGTGACTCTCCCACTGCTGGTATTGTGACAGCTAAATAAAAAGGCCAGTAATATGTGGGTTTCTGGTTTTTGTTGTTGTTGTTTTCTTTTTACCTTGAGGAAACAAAGACTACCCTGACGTAATGAGATACTAGGAATCGCAAAAGAGCCAAACAGAACAATACAGATTCTTTTAAAAATGTTATTAGAAAGCCACCAAGAAGGAATTATTCAGCAATAATATATGGGAGACTGGTTATTGTTAGAAGTTACAGTCCATGGGGAGAGGCAGGGTCTTAGGGAGAGAAACCAGGCTGTTCAAGACAACCTGTGAGGGGTGGGTGACCACACATGCACATATGTTGTTAGAGTTGACACTGTCTCCCAAGGATAGAAATTAAAAAGCAGCTAAAATGCTAATGGGAGTTGGCCAAGGTATGTTTTCAACAAAGCTTTCTAGTACTAAACTGGAATTTTTAAAAGAAGCAAAACTTTTTATTAAAAAAGTGTTCTTCCAAGTGCTGCTCTGGACAACATGAGTTTCAGAGTCCTCACTGAAAAGCCTTACCCTAATTTCCCAGGAATTTCTCCATTTCTTGGCTGGAAGGTTTGGACTATGTCAGCACCAAGATTCTAACTCCTTGGCCTGAGGAGTACGCCCCTCCCTGCCCAAGGTTCCTCCCTGTGCTCTAGATGGAAACCCTCCTAACTGCCATAGAATGCTCAAGTGACAAAACTGACATCCCACCATCTGATTGGCCTGGTGCCCAGGAGCACCCTGGGAAAAAATTTGAACATTCTTGGCAGTTGAGATCCAGACCTTGACGGTTGTAACTGATAGACTGGGTTGGGCACTGCTGATGAAACTCACATTCCTGAGAGAAAAATCATCCAAAGTAAGGTGTATTACATGATAGACTAGACTCAGCAGTGGGGCTTTTCACTGGAAAGATGCGGTATTTCCAAGGACAAGCATTTGAACCCACCCGGACACCATACCCGAGCCTTGTGAATGAGAAGATTACGAAATAAAACCGAAAAACCAAACAAATGAATATCATTTGTGGTTCCAGCCACTTGAGAGAGTTGGGCATTAGGAAGGACGATGTTTCCGTGTGGGATGGAGAGAGGTGTTGGGACTTGAGATTAGGAGGCAGGGATGAGGAAATACAGGCAGGGGTGAGAACAGAGAAGCAGGGTCATTGGAAGTGAGGAGTGGGTCAGTAGTCCCTCATGGGGCATTGAGTAGGTATCAAGCATCCCATTATCAGCCACTACTCTGAGGACCTGTGGGGATTTTTTGGAATTAAGAGAAAGTTCTTAATTTTAAAGGGGGAGAAAGACCTATGTGAAATGATGGGACATTAATGACCAGCATTACAGGGCAGTGACATTTTAAAATGGTACCGATAGTAAGAGCACTAACGGTCCAAAGGAAGAAGGGATTTCTGGGAAGATAATTAGAGGGGGATTAGAGAAACCTTAATAGAAAACCAGAGACAGCATTTAGGTAGTTGGAGGTAGAAACATTGGAAGCTGAGATGTACCTTGATTCAGTTAGCACTTTTTGGCACCTTCAATATCCCACCTATTATAACCATTGTGCTTATTTTGGGTTTTTTAGTGTCTTCCCCAGCTTTCTAGAAGTCACTATGAGGGGCCCCGACTAACTGAGGAGACTCATACAGAAACCCCTGTCCCCATCACAGCTACCTCATTACCGTGTTCCTCCAAGATGGTCACCTCTGAGGAGGATTATCAGAGAAGAAAGGAAACCAAAGGCCCATCAACAACAAATTGAAAATTGAAGTTGAAAGGCAAATCTAAAGATTTGGAGTAAGAGTTGTATCTAGTATGAAGTTACATCCTTAAAGGGAATAAACTATATCTGCGGTAGTAGGACACTGGTTAGTTAATGGGTTTTTGTCAATGTGGCTATTTGAATAATTCATGTGAGTGCACAGTCTACTACCTGAGATGAAAACCTTTATTTACCTTAGTTTACTTTTGGCTCTATCTTAGTATGCAAGACTGCTATAAAATGGAAGATGTAAAAATAATTACAAGTTTAAGAGACTTTTCAAATAGGGGCTTATCCCTGCACTGACCCTACTGGAAAATGAGGATCAATACAACATGCATTAGAGAATTAATATGCTAGGAAGTCTGATTCTCATTTTTTCTCAACCCTGGAGAAAAGAGAATAAAAGGGAAATAATAAAAATAATTTTCTCTTAATGCCATCACTGCACTTTGGGCAAATATAGTAAGCACTAAGTGAAGGAGTGACATCTAAGGGGTCGGGTATATGGCTCGACAGTCTGTTCCCAGGCAGCCTGCATAGGTGGCCACACTGTCCTGCCCTGGAAGTGTTTCTCCTTGAATTATCCAGGTTGTCTCTCAGTGCAACCTGAACTCACTGATTCTTTGCCAACGCTTCAGTTCCCTTGAAGTGGCAGGTGCATAAAAGCCTACCTCCTACTGCAAACCTCTGAATTCCAACAACACCCCCTTCTTGGCTACGCTTCTCCATCTGGAGTTTTAGCAACCAAATATCAGAGGCTGGCAGATGGGTAGTTTTGAATTTTGACTTCATGTTTGGACCAAGATGTCATATTTGAAAGGAAAGGTGATTCTTTGGTATTATTATTTTTTTAAAATAAAAATAGCCCAACCACCATCCTAACTCTATCATTCCTGACTAAAGATTAGTCCCAAACAGGTTTCTGGGGTTTCCACCCACAGGTTTATCAAAGATACTGCCAATATTAAACTTTAAATTACATTAATTTATTTCATATTCTGCTTTAAGATAGTTTAATCCTTCCTCCCTCCCCATCTCCCTCTCTCCCTCCCTTCCTTCTTTCCCTTATCTCTCTCTCTCTTTTTTTTTATAATCCACAGAAACCTCCCAACTACATTCTCCTGTGATCACCCAGCCTGAGGGGTGTGCCCTTATGAGGTCAAGGCTTTCAGAGGTACGTATGTATGGCCTGTCACCTGGACCACCAGGGAGCGTTGTTAAATAGGGCCCTGACTCATTTCAGAAGGAGTGGACAGAAGGTACTGGGAGGAGAATCTTTGCTTTTCTGTTCCAGCTGCTCCATGGACATAACTTCCCATCCCCACTTAACACCCATTGAGCCTTTTATGCCCATTGCCTGAAGTTCTGATGCAGAATCCCAGGGGTCTGAGAGGAATTAAGGACTTTTCCCCTCTTATGCCTCCCTCCCTCCCCTAGGGAGGTCATTAAGAGCTAAAGGAGAACTGTGTCTTGGGAATAACCTTGGACTCTGAAAAATCATGGGGTTCAAGTAATTTAAGAGGGGTGACTACTGATTTCTCTGGAATTCTTTTCCCTCAAAGCTTTTAGGAGACTGGCTGAGCAAAATGTGTATCTGCTGGTGCATGGAGCCTAGAGCCACAAGCTTCAAGCTTGACCACTGGCCAGGGGGGGCCGGTTGTTGTTAAAATGTTAAGTAAAATAGGCAGTTTGACATGCAATGATGAGTTCACTTACCTAAAGAGGAATATGTATAGATAAAAGATCTGAAGTAAACCGAGGTATTTACAGCTGCATGTGAGATTATAACGGATAGCTTCCTCCTTTGGTTTTTTGCTCTTCCCACCCCACAAAGAACATGTGTTATTTTTATCAATGGAGGGTTAAAAAAAAAAACCTTTAAGAAAAATGTAGGGGGTAGGAACTGTACTTCTTTCATTTCATTGTTGCCGTTAATGACTTCTGCAGTGGCCACCTGCCCTAACACCTGGATGGTGATTCAGTAAGGAGGCAATCCGGGGTCTGCCCTAGCGCTCCGTGGGCTTCAGGAACAGTGGTGTCTCGGAGACCTGGAGATGGTCCCAGGATAAGTCGCCGAAATGAATTCTTTACCTATGGAGTCCTGTGGGCTTGTCATGATAATCAAGTTATGCTGCCGGCTTGCTAATTGCAATCACAGAATCACAGAGTGTTAGACCTAGAGGGATCCTGAAGAATCATCTACTTTTTTCCCCTCATTTTTGTGGCACAACCAGAATAAGACTTTGATAGTAATATTACCTTTTAGTAAGGGCCACTATGTGCTGGGAATGGTACTAGGGACTTTATGTAGGTTACCTTTAATCATACCATAAACATAGGTATGTATTCTCCCTATCTTGATTTTATAGAGGAAGTTGAATGATTAAGGGTTCTCTGCCCCTCTACTTCTTCACCTATAAAATAGCTTCTTTCAAATCCTCCAGCTGGAGTCCAAGGTGGGCTACCTGTTTGTCTGGTTGCAAAATGGGCTCTTATTATATACACTTCTGCCTCTTTATTTTCAGCATGGGCTACCTGATCCCCAGTCTTAGAGCTTTATCTCTTGTTGCCACATTTAAATCCCAGGTCTGTTTTAGCCTGTGTTAGCTGAGCGGATCAACCCCCAAATTACAGTCTCTTGTTGGGGTAGTCTGGCCTTGCCATGAAGACGCCTGCTTCCAAGTTCGAAGGCCCACATTTGCTCCTCAAAGCAATATGGCTACAGGGCTTCAGCCTGACCTCAGACATGCTTTCATTTACTCACCCACTTCCTTTTCATTGTGAGTGTTCCTATTTATAGGCTGTGGGAATGCCCAGCTAGAGTGAGGGTGTGGTGGCCAGGAGATTGTCACCAGAGCCCAGTTGTAGGAGGGGAGCTGGGAGGGGAGCCTCTAGGCCGTAGCACCCTGAGGCCTCTGCTGGTGGTGGCTCAGAGTGCCTCCTTCTGATCCTCTGCCCTCCCACTGTGGGAAGTTTAGGCTGAAGGCTTTCTGAGGTAAAGTTGGAGGGGAGGTAGGGCAGAGAGGTATCTTCTCTTTCAGAGGAAAGTTGAAGCTTAAATCATGAAGGGAATCAACTTGGAATACATTCTCCATGTTTCAGCCTTGCCAGAGGCATTTGGGTTAATCAACTATTCTGAACAAGGGTGATGGTGTGTGCTTTATGTGGCTGAATACTTTTCCAGGGATTATAACACAATAAAGTATGGGTAAAACCCAAACTACACTAAATATAATTAAACCTTTCTTTGATGATTCATAAGTCCTTTAGGATCCTGTAGTGCCTCAGGGTCACCATTATGTAGATCATCATCCTTGATGAGGCAGGCCGCTGAATAAAAACACGATTTTAAGTTATAGGCCTCACTCCTACTTTGCCTACCTGGGTGGTCTTCGGCAAGTGTCTTGACCTCGTGAGCATCCAAAATAGGGGTGGCGACATTACATCGTAGGGCTGTCCTTGTAGAAAACTATGTGCATCAAGACTATTGTAATTATTATACTATTAAGCTAACAGTATACCAAACTGCTGGCTGATAGAGAATTCTATTATATGTTGTTTTCCTAACACGATTCAAAGTAATTCACTCTTTTCTCCTTTTAAGGAAAACATGGCTTCCCCAGCAGCAGGTATTGCTGAGAAGTGATATTTAGTCAAGGGCCGGCCAGCAAAAGCATTTAAACAGTTTTTAAACCGCAAAAGTGGAGTACGGTTTTTGTGAAAAGATTTAGAATGTTACAGAAGAACATATTAAAAAAATAAAGTCCTCTTCTGCCCTCATGGTCTCAGTCTTCCCCAGAGGGAAGCTTTATGTAGTTTACTGTCTATGTGCGTGTGTGTGTGTGTGTATCAGATATACATTACCCCGTTTATTATTGTCCTATGACTTTGCTTTTTTTCCCCCCTTAATAGAATATCTTGGGGATCTTTTCATTCTTTTTTTTACAGCAGCATCTGCCTGGTCTTTCATAATATGGATGAGTTTTATCTCGTTTAACCATTGCTCTGTTGATAAACATTAGGTTATTTCTAGCTCTTCTATAGCAAACAATGCTGCAGTGAGCCCAGAATGATATTTATGTACCAACTCAGTCACAGCCACTCGGTAATTTATTACCACTTCAGGGCACCTCAACCCGTAGGTCCTAAAATACATTCTTGGCGTATCTGCCTTCTGAAAGCCAGAGCATCAAATAGGAACAAAGCAGGTGACGTTAGCAGTCCGGGAATTTCTAATACATGGATCCACTCGTAAAGTTCTAGGGCATTTCCATTACCCTCCCAAGTTCCCTTTGTACCTCTTTGACTTTAATGACCACACCTACCCCAGCTCTAGGCAACCACTGATAATGATTTTTATCTCTCAAGTTTCGCCTTATCTAGAAATTTCATATAAATGGAACGACAATATGTAGTCTTTGGTGTCTTCTTATCCTTACCAGAATGTTTCTTGAGGTTCAGCCATGTTGTTGGGTGCATCAATTATTGCTGAGTAGTACTCTAATACAGAGATCAACATTTTATTTATTCACTGGGATTGTTTCCAGCTCGGGGCTATTTTCAGTTTTTGCCTATGACGCAGAACGATACTATGAACATTTGGGTACAAGTTTTTGCGTGGACATATATTTTTATTTCTCATGGGTAAATACGTAGGAGTGGAATTCTTGGGTCTTATGATGAAGTGTATGTTTAACTTTTTTTAAAAAAAGGCCAAATTATTTTCTAAAGCGATCATTTCATTTTATATTCCTACAAGCGATGTGTGAAGTTTCCAGTTTGTTCACATCCTCGCTAACACTTTGTATTGCCAGTCGTTTTTATTGTAGTTCTACTGGTCTGGTGGTGCTATCTCATTGTCACTTGAATGTGCATTTTCCTATTAATAATGATTTTGGGCACCTTTTCATGTGTTTATTAGCCATTCATGTATATTCTATGGCAAAGTGTTTCATCAAATCTTGTGTTCATTTTGGCCTGTTTGCCTTTTATTATTGCAAGAGTTCTTTATATATTCTGAATTCAAACCATATATATATATTTATACATATGATTTATATATAGATACATGATTTATAAATTTTTTTTCTTAATCTATGCCTTGTCTTTTCATTTCCTTAGTGGTGATTTTTGAAGAAATATTTAATTTGGATGAGTCTACATTTGTTAATTTTTTCTATTATGGATGATGCTTTGGGTGTTGTACCTAAGAAATCTTTGCTTACCTCAAGATCACTAAGATTTTGTCTTATATTTTCTTCTAGAAGTTTTATACAAAAAAGGTGATTGTATAAGTTATTTCAAAGTCTGGATGAAACTAATGTTTTCCATAGGTTTTCCATTCCCTTCCTTGACTGAAATCAATGGGTCCATGGAGTTAAATCTACAGAACAAGTCTTTCCTACTTTTTCACAGTAGTTTTTACAGTTTGGCTTGATTGTGTACCTACAGAATCACGACAGTGATCTTTGTTACTGACTCCTTAAAATTTTTTCCAAAGATAAAATGTAAGATCATATTGTTTTAGAAGGATCAGAAAAGGTTTCCTTTGAGGCAATCATATTGATTTCCTATACCATAAATAGAATATTCTCTGTGTTACATCATTTAGCAAATGTAGGGCACTATCTCCCAATACCAAAGCAGTAAAGTTATTTCCTATTACCAGCTGTTTTGATATGGCATATTTCCACTTGTTTCTTTTTATTCCTAGTAACTCATTTTATTTCTCTGGATAATGAGGCTATGATCTATTAGGTCTCAACAAGTTTCTGTGTGTGTGTGTGTGTGTGTGTGTGTGTGTGTGTGTTTCAAGAGCTATATTGCTCTTAATTATTGGAGAGAGCTTCAATCTCATTTCTTTCAAAGTTTCACTGATCAGAGCGTATATAGGTCCTCATTTCTTATTTGAAACTCAGGGCCAGATATATTTTTAAAGGCATGTTCTTTAAAAAAAATTTTTTTTAGAAAGATAGTATATGGAATATTCTGAATGAATAAAATGTCTCCTGGGAGTCAGGATGATGACTACGTCATTATATGGATATACTACTATTTTTATTTTTATTTTTATTTATTTTATTTTTTTTAAGATTTTATTTATTTATTTGAGAGAGAGAGCACATGAGAGGGGGGAGGGTCAGAGGGAGAAGCAGACTCCCCGCTGAGCAAGGA